GCTGCGTGTGTAGGGCTTCTCCGAGATGTCAGATTGCACGTGCCTGGACAAAATACGCTTCAAGGGTCAAACCTGATGAGGGGATGCCGACTGTAAGCGTGTGAGTTTGTGAACACTCGCGGAACATGCAGACCATTGGCCACCCAATTTTCCAAAATCAACTCCGAGAAAACATATGAAAGCCAAGCAGGAAGCTTCCCCAATTTGACACCTTCGCATGTTCTGCCATTCATCGGACGACCTAAAGGCGATTTGATCTACAACAAGTTCAAGCAGTCTGGCGACCTTGGCCGCACGAATTCTTGTGCCGTTGCAGAATGCAAGGGCAGCTCTTGGCAATCATGGGCTGCGTTGATGGTTGGGGTCCGCTTGTGCAACCAGTGGTTGCAAAGTTTCTGGTTTTGACACATTCCCCGAGGTGTTTCTGTCGCACTTCACATTCACACGAGGTGCCCAGGGGGACAAACCCTGCCGTTTCCCTTCAGCTCGACTCTTCGACGAAACCGCCTCCGAGCGCCAGGGTGATAGGACATGGCCAAGAACTTGCCCTGCTTCCTCAAGCCATCGGATGGCAAATGGGTGTTGCGTTTTTTGGGGATGTTGGGCTTTCCTTTTCTTTGGCTTCCTTTTGAAACTGGGTACCCTCAAAAAGAGACTCACCGAAATCCAATGCCAATCACTTGACCGACCCATCCTCCTTGAACCTGCCCGGCTGCTTTCGCCGGGCTAGAAGACACGGTGACACAGAGACACAAAAGGCACAGCAGAGACACAAAAACAAAATCAACCACCAGCAACCAACAAACCAACCAGCAAGCACCAAACAACCAACCAAGCAACCAAACAACGAAACAAACAACCAAACAAGCAAACAAACAAGCAAACAACCGAGCAAAGAAACAAATACAAACACGCAAACACACATGTGTGTGTGTGTGTGTGCGCGTGCGCGCGGTCCTGAGCCAGGATTGCCAGACTTACAGCTTCCAGAGTAAAATAGTGGGGAATCGATCAAAGTGCCAGCTACAGAACAAGGCCATTCTGGCTTAGGTTCTGGAAGGCCAAATGACCAATGGACAAATCCAAGAAGCCAAAATGACACGTAGCTCGTGTGCCACAAGGTGTTCTGCGTCTCACCCCCCGAAAGCGCGCGCCACACGGCCCAAAAAAAGCTTTTTCAGCATTGGACACGCCTGCGGTTGGATTGTCTGAACATGCCTGACAATTGAGACTGACACCCGCATTCGTACTGACCATGAAGCTGAACCTATCATATAGCGACACTTGCCATGTGTCAAAATTAAGGTATGCCCGAAATGACAGGTGTCCTCATGGATTACTTTTGTAGCAAGCTGCAAAGGCTACCCTCAAATCCATACACACCCACTCAAAATTCCATTGAACAGCTGCCAGGAGCTATGCCAAACGAGATTCGCTCCCCCCGACTGCTGGATTTGCCGATCGCCAATCCCTTGCTTGGACCCCCGACCCATGAAGTACTTCCAGGGCTTCCGAAGCGCCCTGCGTCGGGCGGCAGGTGCCTTCTTGGCTACTGCAAACAGGCGTTGCAGGCGTCACTCAGAGCCCCGCATAACCTGCCTGTGAACATGCGTGTGCAGATTCTGAAGCCATGTGCAGTCACGTGACGTCAAAAAGCTTGAAGTTTGGCTAAAGATGACAAGGGAACCTTCTCGTGTTCTCTGCAAAAAGGCAATCATCTATGCTGCACCAAAGCTCTCGCCCGCACTGGCCGCATGCACAAGAGCAACCGAAATGATCGTCCCAACTTTCGACTAGAGACTTGTCTGCGCTAACTGCAGATCTAAGAACGGCGTCTGCAAAAAGACAGAAGGGAAACTCCTCAAATCTCCTGACCCACGGCAGGCAACAAAAAAGCGGGCGTAAGGTGATGCGCGGAGCCTTGTGCGTGTTAATGCAGAAGCGCTTCAAGTCCTGCTCCTTGACAACATGTTGGCCTCTGTAGTCCAGCCCTTATGGTCCAGCAATTTGACGAGGGCACGTCTGGGTCATCTAAAAGCCGCCGAGGCTTTGCGCCGCAAGGCCGACTCCCAGGTTCACAATCTTGGGAGACGTCGCACAGCGGAGGGCTCGTTTCCAGCAACCAGCATCCATCTGAAGCATTGGGGCCAATATTATGATACGGCTGTGCCGTTGTTTAGCGGGCCCCCGCAAAGGGTTTTTCCTTGTACAGTGTCCCTTTACAACCCTCCAAAAAGGCTATGCAAGTGGCAGTGCTTTCACAGCGTGCCAGTTCGCAGGACCCTCCTTCTGCAGGTGGCCCAAGTCCACCGCGCCGCGGCCCACGATGGTGACCCGTGGCTGGCTCATCTTGGCTGAACCTTGGACTTGTGAAGGGGATGGAGTTGGGTATGGCTCAAATACCGGTACCAAAATGGAACCCTGGTAAATGGAAACATGGACCAAAACCTGCGTAACCCTAGCTCTTTAATTTTGAGCCCCTGCCAGTTGGGTGCCATTCTCCCTGCTCCTTCCATAGGCTTTTTACGACTGCAGAAAAGGAACGTTCTGGAACATTCTGGAACCATGCAGGGCAACCTGATTTGCTCCGTCAATGCACTTGACGCACACACATTGGCCCTTTCCGCAGGATAGCCACTTTGGTGTGGCATGGCAAAGATGGATGCCTGCTCATACCAAAAGGGCCAAGGGAGTTTGGCTATCCCTGGCCGGGCTTTATGCGCGTGGGTGTGGGTTCAAAATTGAACCTTCAGAGGACCGCAGGTTTTAGTCCATGTGTCCATTTGCCAGGGATCCATTTTGGGTACCTATGTTTGTCCCACAGCCATGTGAACCGGATCAGGGGCAGATCTAAGACCCAGACGAATTTGTCCTCCTGCCTGGATGGACTTCGTGCTCTTAAAGGCCACCTGTCCCGGGGCACCGAAAGGGCGATTCTAGCTCCATCCCGGAGTCCTCGCAGGAAGCTTGGACGGGAACCAATGAAGAGCAAACTCAATGCTTAAAAAGGCCGCCCATGGGAAGCTATCGTGCCTATTATTCTCTTCATCACTATGTCATTGCGTGCGACCCATGAATATGCTCTTCAACGCTCTTGAGACCATACACTCGGCCAACCACCCCCGCCTCTGGAACCCAGTCACGACCCTTTCGAGGCGTCGCACGCGGCGTCTCCGACCTGCGAATTGCAGCGCTGGCCAGGAATGGCCCAGAAACAACCGTAACATGGAAGTAGTGCCAAAGCAAGAGTAGTGGACTCCATGTGGACTCCTGGGTCCTTCAAACTTTTGAGCCGAGCTCACTTTCAGAAACGTTCAGCTGGCGCCTGGCTCGCCGATTCTCCGGGCTAGAGATGTCCCGGGACTGGTGCTCGGCCTGGCATACCAAAGAGCAAACATCCCACGACCCCAGGCATTGATCAGAGATTGATTCATGCCCAGAATTTGCGCATGCCTTGTTGGGCGCAAGGATGCTCAGCAGGGCGCTCGACCTGAATACTCTCACGGACCAACTCGCGAGGCATGCTCCTTTGTGGGATCGCTGATGGCCATTGCGTCAACTTTGGGCGACATGTTGCATCAGCACCGCCTGCTCCAGTGCAACGCGAGCCAGTTATTGTTGAGCCAACTGGCTTGAACGTAGAAATTGCCACAAGCAGCATCTCAGCCGCCCGCCAATGGTGAAGATGTTCGTTGTCGCCGACGTGAATGCCAACTTTCTTGCCCTCAGTCGATCGAATCTCTGGAGATCAACTCTTCAGCCACAGCGAGTTGGTCCAAGCGCCCATATCCTGAGGGCCTGGCTCCGAGGTTGAGAATCAAGCCTGCGCACATATCTCCCCCCCTCAAATGCCGTTCTCTACCTTGATTGAACACCTCTTTCTGGCCCGGCCCAAAGCTGAGGCGGCTTGACTCTACCAGAAAGATCAAGACATGCTGCAACCTCCTCTTCCGAAAACATCCTATCAAGCTAGGCCAGCACTAACTTGGCACCTTGCTATTCCCTCATGCCCCTGCATGCAGAAATAAAGTGATCTCAAGGTCATTCTCAGGTTGGCTGGGTTGGTGTTTAGGGCTTAGGGCTGGTTCAGGGTTGGCTAGAGACCACCACCAAACGAACAACATGGTCAGTTTGTACCAACATGCACACCCATTGCATGCCACTAGATGAGTTTGCCATTTGCAGTGCCGCCTCCACTCACCGTCTCCACACCGCGAATGCTGGACATCAGAATGCGGCTGTCCTGACCCCATGCATGGAATTGGCATCCAGCATGCCTCAGCTAAAACCTGTTTTTTTTGTGTACCATGATCCGCTGGCATGAATATGCTGAATCTGTTTCACAGACAAACGAACCTCCTACAGGACCTCTTCTTGGATTTCATGTCCATCTTCAAAAGAGGAATGACACGTTGTCATCGTTGATATGCTACTTGTACTTGAAAGGTACTGTGCCCAAATGCAATCCCTTCCCCAGCCCAGGCTTCACAGAACGGCTTCGTGCTCACAGTCAACAGTTGAACAAGTACAAACCTTTGCCGACTGTTGGCAAAGGAAGAGCCACGCCACACGAATGAAAGTTGGGAGAGTTGGGCACACTTGAGTAAAATGCATTATTATACTTGTTCTTTGCTTAGTTGGTTACCTGTGTTGTGGAGTCAACTCAGCTCAACTCGTCGCACTGTACGCTTCGGCCAAGGAGCCTCCTTGAATCCAAAGCTCGCCTGAGGGTCAAAGTCAAGGAGTCCAGTCTCAGAGCTGCTTGCGTGCTTCTGCTAGTAGCTCAGCATGCTGGATCTACGGCCATCGTTTGCCCCCACGTTTTCAATGCGTGCTGTTGTTGACTTGGTCAAGGGATGCTGGAGACCAATGAACCATGTCAGGCCAAATGCTAGCGTGCACGTTCACCCACAAACCATGTTGGGTGTAGTTGCAGCGTGCACGAGATCCCGGAGACAAATGAACACATGTTAGACCAAATGAAGTCCGCGCACATTCAACAGATCCCGTGCCAAAAGCGGTCCATCAAAGCTGGGCAAACAATGGCCCTAAGCCCAGCATATCATGTTGTTTCGTCAAGAGCTCATGGGCATGTCTCCTTCTCACCCGGGTCCATCCAGCATTCTTAAGAGCGTACTAAAGGGAACACCCAGAAGGAATTTCAACCCTGAAGGTTCAACAAAGGGTAAGTGCGTACGACCAGCTCGTGACTGCTGGGTGAATGCCCCAGCTTTGGTAAAGTAGCAATCATGCCCTGCCTTTGCTCAAGTGCCAAGCATGTTACTCTCTTGGCCCAACTAATGGTAACTCGCAACAATTCGTGGGGGTCGCCAGCCTTAGGAAACACCCGCTATTGATGTATGACATGGAAAGCTCAAGACTTCTATCTAAATCATGAGGCTCTCGAGATATTCTATCTTTTCTGGGGTGAGTTCCTCACTCGTGTTTGCACCTGGCTTACACAATCAGCATGGTATACGTTGTTGCTCTCACAGCTCTCATCTGCATTGATCGTTAATGCAACGGCGCATTTCCGCTTGCTACGGGGATGTGCTTTCCAGAGTGCTTTCCATGTTTGGCCAACAGGTGCAAAGCTTTGTCAAACATGGACCAATGGAAAGTTGACTGTGGCACTTCTCCCGATATTCTCATTGGACTCTGGACTATCCGAGCTGTACTGCTTCTGCCCGAAATCTCGGAAGGTGCTTGCATTTCCTCATGGTGCTTCGCTCTACAGCTGCTTCTGGCCTAGCTTCGCGCTGCGACCTTGCTTTGAACACATATTCTCCCACAGTAGCCTTCGAACTGGTTTAGCGCTGCAAGTAGGTTGTCTTTTGAAGCTTCATGTTTTTTTTTGGAAACCACAAGTCCCTTCTGATGTGTCTGCGTTCATTCGGCTCTGTATGGATGCTCCGTGCCTCACCGATTTTGCTTTTGCAGCTTTTTTGGGCCCGCCCAGACTGGCTTGGAGCCTCAACAGCTGTGAGCAATTCGTTTTAGGAGGATGTCAAAAGAACAACCCAACCCCTCTATTTCCAAAACAAAGTATTAGCAAGGAAGGTTGTCTGATCGACATACGTGGTGCTCGCAGCATGTTGCTTTGTGGCCCTGGCATAGGACAATTGCATTGGAATGCATGTCAAACATGTCACAATGGGATGCTTTTCTTTGATACCATGCAACATCATCAAGTTCGGAAAAGTAACTTGAAAGCGTTTAAAGCAACGTGTACCCATGTGGAGACTGCATGTTGACACGCTGACATGCAACGCCACGCACAACATATTTTTTGCATGGATACTATTGCCTGTTGCCCATATGCAGTAGTGCGCAATTGCCTTCAGCTCTTCTGTCATTGTGGGCATGTGTCAAAATAGGGGGCGCCCCCAAATGGCGGCTTTCCTTTTGGTGGCCCTTTCAATCTATCCCTTTTCGGGTACCGTCAAACATACCATCCCCGTCTTGACCCTCGCGCGGCCTTCTGGGCACTGCTCCAGCTGTCGAGGCGGTCCTTCGGGGCTTGGCATGGGGATGCTCAAAGTGCAAGGCGCAGTCAACAAACACCTGGGCATCTACGGTGGTTACCCTAAAGCCAACAAGTATTGGAAAACTGAGAGAGGTGTGGTTGAAAGGTCGGCTTTGGGCAAGTGAGCCTAAAGACATTTACCTTCCAGGCTGTTGCCCGAAAAAGACTTGTTCATCGCACGCCTTGTCAGCTGCCTTGAGCAAGAGGGCAAGAGGGAAACCCTTTAAGACCATGACAACTTGAGTCCAGCGGGGGATAAAAGCATCGATCAGTCGGATCTGATCAGGACGGCGCTTTCCTTTGAGGTCGAAACTTGGACTTCTCCCAGTCCAGTAAATCTTGCCCAGGAATACCAGTTTGACAAACACACACACACACACACACACTCACAGACATAATCCTCAACCCCTCGGTTACAGTTACACCATGGCTCAGCAAACACCTTCAGGACACCCGTGCCCAAAGCCCAGAAAGCCTCCTGTCAAACTGCTCGTGCTTTAGTTGGGCTGGGGGCGGTGTTCAAAGTGCTGCGGACTCCTTTATTTGGTTGTTCACACGCGTGTTCCTCCCTTGCACAGAGGCAACGACGAACATCCGCGGTCTTAGCAGCAAGCATCACCCATTCAAATGTCAACTGCTCCACAGACATGCGCGAATGACTCAGGACATGCGCGACCGACTCCGCGCCGTACCGAACCTCCGCCCAAATCATAAGCGCCGACATTGCTGACGCGAATCTAAAGACACGCCACTCAACGTCTAAAATGCTAGGAATGCAAACAATTTATTGGCTGAGCACACAACGAAAAGCCTTCGTTTTAAAGACTCGCCTTCGCTTTTGGGGGTGTTGGATCTTATTCCACTCCAATACATATCCCTTGTTCCGACCCTGTTGGTGGTAGCTCATGTGTTGTTAAGCTGGACTGAGGTTGTAACCAGGATGGGAGAATGCCATCTTGGTCAACTCAAGCGCAACCGGGCGAAGAAACGTCCTGTACCATCAAAGGCTGGGCACACCATGGGCTGTTTGGTCAGACACAGGGGACAATCCATCAGCCAGGGAGGCAACAAGGCGACCAGGTTTGCTAAGCCCTTTCCCAAAAACCAAACAACTTGCAAAGTTCAGGTGAGATTGGAACACCTCACTGAGTGTTGCCCCCCCCGCTCCTTGAAGAGGATGCTGAGCCGCACCACAAGGCGCTGCTGGTGTTGGAAGCCCAACAAGCCCCAGTGCACCACCTTCTCCTGGGGAAACAAAACAATGGGCCGCTGGTGCCATTGATCACTTATCTGGTCACAGACCTCTAGGCCCTCCGATTGGCTCCAAACAAAAATGAGATCCTTCCTAGTGGGCAAAAAAGAAGGGTGGTTGAAGATTCGACAGATTATGGGCAGTGTCAAAACTAGCTGCCCTCCAATTGCTGAGCGTCATGGTGGTTCCTGTTCAACATAAGCCAAAAGCGACTAGTTTGGTCATGTATCTATCTGCCAATATCACTGCTACATGTATGAAGGGCCGCTCACAAAAGGACCCTTCTCCGGGTGAGATAGCCACTTGGTCAAATATCATCTCCTAGCCTTGCTCTCTGTCCCTTTGGGCCGGTCAGACTCGAACACTCTAAGTGCAGCACCGGCAGGGTCTGAATCCAGTGCTGGATATGTTCATCTTGCACCTCACGGTCAAATTCATGCGAGCCTGGATTTTGAGTTGTGATTTTCAGCGTTCCCCTTTCCAAAACACGATGGTACACAACGACCGTTGCTCGCCTGAAGACGTGTTTTTGCCGGTGTATCGTTGCATATCGTTGCCCCAACGCTGCGCGCAACGCAGTGTATGGGAAACCAACCAAATAAACAAACAAACAAACAAACAAACAAACAAACAAACAAACAAACAAACAAACAAAACAAACAAACAAACAAACAAACAAACAAACAAACACACAAACAAACACACAAACAAACAATGCACACTCACTTTGATCCATCTTTTGGGACACTCAGCGATCCTATACAGGCAAAATTGATCCATTTGTCTGGAAGATCTGCATCTGTCATTTTGTCAACCAAGCAGTGCCTCACCAGCGATCTCTGTGTTGTCGAACTTGCTTTTCTCCAAGCGCACATCCTCAGCATTGGACAAGCTAGGACAAACGCAGCCAGTGCTTCTGAAAGCTTGTCTCGGGCTCTGCTAGCCCCTTCGCCTCGGAATGGGTTTTGGGGGGATGGCTTTGCATCGTCGAGAGCTGCTTTGCCCTGCTTTGGACATATTGTTGCTTCCCGGTGTCCCTGTTTGTTCCGCTTGTCCTAGGTTGCTCAATCCTGCATAGTGGATCCCTGCAAACCATCGGAGTTGGTTCTCTTAAAACCCGGCCCCTGAAAATACTTTTTCTTGGACTTAGTTTGTTGTTTGTTGATTGTTGATGAAGGGCCAAATGAACCCAGAGAGCCGTGCCAGGCATCCAGGCTGGGAGACAACTGGAGACAAATTGTTGCTTGTTGCTTGATGTTTGCTGTTCGGTGTTTGTTGTTTGTTGTCTGTTGTTTGTTGTTTGATGTGTCTTGTTTCTTGTTTGTTGGCCATTGGTTATGAGTTGTTGCTCTTGCTGTTTGCTGTTGCTGTTGCTGTTGTCATGGTAGTTGTAGTCGTCGTTGTCATTGGTCGTTATCGTTGTCGTTGGTGGTTTGTGGTTTGTTGATGACCTTGCCCCCACCACCACCGCCGCCGCCGCCGCCGCCGCCGCCGTCACCGGCGCCCCCCCCACCACCGCCACCGGCGCCGCCCCCACCACCAGCACGACAACAACAAAGCAACAACTTGCTGCAGTTGCTGTTGTTGCTTCTGCTGATGCTGCCGCTGCCAGCGTTGCCGGGGCTGCCGGTGCTGCTGCCGGTGCAGCTGGTGGTGGTGCTGGTGGTGGAGGTGGTGGCAGTGGTGGCAGTGCTGCTTCTGCTGCTGCTGCTGCTGCCGCTGCTGTTCTGGTGTAGGGTCCTCTTGCACAGGGTGCTGTTGGAGGGTGCTGCAAAGCAGGGTGTTGGCGAAACAACATTGATGCTTTCTTTCATTGACAGCTTCAAGCAGCTGCTGGTTTTGACACCCGAATACTTTTGGAACACAAGTATAGCTGTTTGGAGGTCTATGGGTGTGTCATGTAGACACGACACACACACACACACACACACCAAGCCAAGTCTTGCTGTCCTTGTGGAAGGGGCTGCGCCTGTTCAAGATGTTCCGCGTGACGTCGTCCACGTTGTTGGGCGTCTCAGCGCTCCAGGGAATGGAACCCCGGTCCAGCCGTGCAATCCCAGCTCTGCATAGTCCATGAAAATGGATCGAACTTTGCATTGGCACAGCTGACATTCCAAACAAAAGCGGCTAGGTGTGCTGCTTGGCTGGCCTCGTTCCTGGCCACGTCACTCTCCCTCTAACTCGCTCTCGATAAATCCCTCTTGGCCAAAGTCGCATCCCGAGCTCTCTGATGCCTCTTTCTCTGAAGGGTCGCGGAACGTGGTTCTCGAGCAAGAAACAGAAACAACAAGCACACACACACACACACATCACGCAGAGAAACAGAACATATTGTGAGTGGGTCTGTTTGACAAGCTGGATGCACTGGATAGAGCCTACCTGAGGAAACGTCCCCTCCATTTCTTGCGCAACCCCTCCGCTCCCCGGTCATAGCAAACGCGCCAAAGGCACTGGGGGTGGAAGAGAAGCTGGAAGGCCACGACCCAAATCTCCATGTCCTGGAAAAGGGCGGCAGAAACAGGAGGCGCAAAACGTGCCAGGTGCTTTCTTTGATTGGCGCTGGTCCAAAGCATATTGTCAGGGAGCTTTTATGAGACGAAGGGGGGGCCAACCAAACTAGCAGGTAACCAACATAAAGCTAGAAGAGGAAAGACATTGGAGCTGTGCAGGAGCTACGAATCTTGTTCAGGTTCATCCTAATGGGGAATCTGAAGCAAGTGACGTTTGAGCTGGAAACAGCACGAGACAGACTCACCTTTGCGAACGGATGAGTTTTCAACATTGACCGATTCGTCAACATACCGAGTCCCAAAATCAAAACTGGGGTTGCGTCGGTCAAAGCAAGGCGAACTCTTGAGTAAACACAATCGCGCATACGGGTGGGTCCTTTTTTAGGGGACCCACAAGAATGGTGGTGTTCCTCTTGGTTCCCTTTAAACCAGCCCAAAAAGGGTACCCGCCAAAAACAAGAGACACCGATGTCTCGCCGTCATACGGCAACGACGCACACGTGTCTTCGTGCCCGGCTCCCGGCTCCTCCCCGACGGGCACTCGAACTTCCAGGCCTGAGAAAGCAACCGGTGGATTCGTCGAACATGCGATGCAGCAAGGAACATTGGTGCCTTGGATCTTAGATCACTTTGCATACCATTAGGTTATGGATCGCGCAAATCTTTGCTAGCTTCTGGATCGCAACTTGACCTATCTTGACCTGCCATCAACAAGGAATCCCTTTGACAGCTCCTCGGCAAGACGCGCAACAAATGCTTGACTACCCTTTGCTCGCGAATGAGCTGACCGTGTTCTTGGCTGTACAATACTGATCGAGCATCCACACTGACATCCATACAGCTATATTATATCCTTCAGTTTGTCAGCGGCCAAAATTCGACAATGGTCGGGGCATAAGCAGATACGATGTCAAAGCTTGACTAATATGCTCAGCGCTTCCAGCTTTGGAAGAGAGGATTTTGCGGCGAGGCTGCACCAACCCACAGTGCTGTGAGGCACAAGCTGGCATCGCGGAGCTCAAAGATGAAGGCATCCTCAACTACCTGGGAGACAGCGAACGAATCGTGAGCATCTTGCGTCAGCTTGCAATGCTGAGCTTCCAACTCGGACAGCTTTGACATCCATGGCATGGACGACGTCTGCGGTGCGGCTGGCTGCTTCCACAAACGACATTGAAACTACTTTTGGTGCATCCATCATGGAACATGGAACCCGCAAGACACGTCCAGCTTCCAGCTTCCTCTCAGCCAATGTTCAAGTGCCTTGGGCTTATTGCGCGTGGAATCGGCCAATGCCTCCTTCGTCACCCCGTTGAGCACTCGCAGCATCTGCAAAGTACTCGAAGCGGTCGCTGTACACCAGGAAGTAGCGAACCTGATGAAGCTGGCCAAAGGCCCCAGCAGGCGGCCAGCGTTGCGATTTAGCACCCGACGGGGTCCATCTTTTTGATCCACTGGCCCAATCTGGTTCACTTCCCTATCACCTCACAATCCTTCCGTCAATCACGCTAAAATCAACACACTAACAAAGGAAACCAACCATGCGGCAATGAGACAGGGTGAACACCACGGGCCTGCTCAGAGCCGTCATCGCGTGCCTCAGCCAGGCTGAGCAATATATCTTTCTCTGGTCGTCTATTTCAGATGCAGTCCCCAAACGACCTGTCTTTGGCATGAGGCCACTGCCACCTTCAGAGGACCATGGTGCATGGGCTTGGTCACACCTGGCAGAAATCAGGCAGGCACAGGTCCCAAACACCTCAAATTCATCCATCCAGAGGTATTCCAGCTTTGAAGGCAACCCCAGGAAGGTCTCTCCTACTGCCCCGCCTCACAGCTGGCGTTGCATCCCAGGAGTGCTAACCAGTTAGTGTTGTTCAGTCAAAGGCATAAGGCAGGTGCCAAACATCAACAAGGACCTCTTGTCTCTGGTCTGTCACAAACAGGTGTCATCACTTGCAAGTATGAATTGACACAGTAGATTGAGTGAATGTCCCAATTCCTTCGAACCTTACCAGCTGAACATGCGACTGGCTCCAGCAGCTTCACTGCCGACTGCGTCCCCCGTGTTTCAACATGTTTCAGTGCCTTGCTCTAGGACAGCCCCAAAAAAAACAAGTTCGATTGGGTAAGGCCAGAGAGTCTGGCTGGACGACCTGTCGTCAAAATTATGCGGCTGCAACCAAAACTGGGTCAAAGTGGAAGCCAAAAGCCAACAAATCGGCTTTGTCTGATTGAGTTCAAGCTTCACCAAGACCCGTACAACCCATCGTGCCTGGCTTGGGCAGCTGCACAGGCGAGTCTCAGCAATCCAAGTCGCTTGCTGCAACTGGAAACAACCTCTCTCATGTTCGGCTCATCAGGTATAGCTATGCACTCTCAAAGTGTCCCATTCAGGGGTTGTTCAAAGCTGCTCCAGGTTGGGTTTGTGCCAAATGATCTGTCAAACTTGGGATCCTAACGTGCCACAAGCTACGCCTTCTCTGCACCATCTTAGGTCCAGCATGCGCCAGAGTTTGGCCCAAAGGACGCGTTTGAGCCCTGGATGAACCCTGGAACTAAAAGCTGCGCGCAATCGATCAAGCAACGCCTGATTTCAGACCTATTCGCATCAGCAAAGACTGATCAACTGATCCAACCGAATTCCGGTGGCAAGGGCCAGGCCGATGGGCGGCCGCAAATTCACCCACTCCACCTTGGCCGACAGGGTCGTGCCAGCCTTCCCAAGCGTCGGGGGGGTGCCAGGAAAAGGGGGTTCCCAATGGGTGGTGTCATGTCGATTTCTCTTTAAACTTCAAACAGCAAGCAAAAGCGGTCCCCAAGTTTGTGGACACTCGCACATGCCAAAACCAGCACCTCAGAAAACCAAACTGCCAAATGTGAATCCACCGCGATGCTGCACGTGGCCAGAAGCTGGCATGCTCTTGTCAGCACTGGCCGTGGCCGCGGCCATCTTGCGATTGCCCTTCTTTTCGAAGGTGGGCGCTACAACCTCAGACGAATGTCAGCGCTGAGCGCGCCATTCTGCCATTTGGATTGTCTTCTTTTGAGGGTACCTGGTGCTTTGTGTTTGTTTCTAAGGAAAACCAAAAGGAAAATCAAAAAAACACACGCTCATTTGTCAATCCAGCCGTCTTGAGCCTGGACTGAAAGGGAAAGGATTCAGTTCCGCCTGGAAATCAACCTTGAGACCATGTCTCTAGCTTGCCACGCTCAGGCGGGTGCCTCTTCAAGGCTTGACCTCGGTTTGCGGTGCAAGACTAGCTTCGTCATCTGCAGCTGCAGGAACATCTATAGGGACTTTTCAGCTTCATGAGCATCACTCGCCTCTGCTTCCAGTCGCCGGTCTCAGCATAAAATACCCCGCCCATCTTGTTGTATGGCATGTCTCGTCTCGGCAGGTGCTAAGAAGCTTTCTATACAAAGACACTGGCAGTGGCTTTAACCACCATCTCACTGGCTACCCGCTGGTCAGCCTGCACCAGAAAGCATCATGATAATATGGCTTTATTCTGTGATTTGCTTGTGCGCCAACGCAAGATCTAACTCAAACACCAGGCTCCTTCTGGCTCACCTGTACAAGAGCGTGCCCGAGCCGGCATTCACGACAGCAAGAATCATCCAACTTTGATCCTTTCAGGGTCAAAGCTCCAATCCTAGCGCTGTGCGGCTGAGAAAAGGCCAGTTTGCGACCGCAAACTAATTCCTACAGGGCAAATGTTTAGGCAACCGACAATAAGTACTAGTACTATTAGAACTGGAAGTCCAGTATTGGACCCTGCCTCTTTGATCAAGTTCTCATCTTCCAAGATCTCGGCGTGAAACTAGAATCTATGGCGTTGCCCTTTGGACACCGCGTGTTTTGGCACAATGCAAATGCACTATGCTCTGCCAAGCAGCTGCACCTTGGCTTAGGAAGCAGCTGCTCTCTGAAGTGCTATGACATGCTGCTTGACTGACGGCTTAGTGCATGTCCGAAGGATTCTCTTGGTGGCACGTAAATTCATGTCAGGCTGGGGCACTAGTCCAGGATCTCGCCCAACCTTGGAAGTGACATGCGGCTCTTTCGACTCGCAGAACAGGGCGTGCACCTATTTGAGCAGACTCAAAATGGGATCAACATGGGCATAGGAGGAAGCGTGTGCTTTTATATTGGTACAAGGACGAAACCGCTTGGGGATGTCACGATCCTAAGCAAGCCTCGAAACACACCACACACTCCGCCAAAGAAGTCCGACTCAGCACAACTGTTCTGCATAGTTGAAGACCAGAAGTTTAATTAGTCTTGTGTCCCATGGAACAGGAAGCATTTCTGTACTCAGTCGTGCGTAAGCAGAGCAGCGTTGCAGGATGAGATTTGCAATTGTTTGTTTTGATAACTGAGCGGGCGCAGCATCATTCCAGGCTAAGGGTAACTGAATGTCATCTAAGAACATCCAACCTTTCTCAAAGCAGGACTCGTGTCCTGTCACCCACTGAACAGTCGAGCTTTTACTATTCGCTTTGTCGCGTGAGGAACTTGGCATTCGCGTGAGCCAAAACCCTTTTCTATTTTGAAGTTAAAGCGCCACGCTACGCCACCCTCTTCGGTTACTCTTATTGACCGTTCAAGGGCGAGGTTTGCCAGCGCCAGGACCAAAGAAATCGGCTCCATCTGGTTCCCTGTAGTTTCCGGCCGGGTGACAGCAGTCCACCCAGCAGTCCTGCACCGCCAGCGGCCATCATGGCGCCAGTGCCGCCGCCCATCATGCCGCCACCACCGCCGCCGCCCATGCCACCCATGCCACCCATGCCGCCCATGCCGCCGTGGCCGCTGTGGCCCTCGGAGTGAAAGTGAGTCCAATAAGTCCAATAACTAAGTCCACGCTTTGAGCTCTTTGCAAAAATCCGAACTCCCAGTGATCCAAAATGATCCACATTTACTCAGTGAGTTCCTCGTGAATTCAATTCGCTCTTGGTTTTTTGCAGTTGTCCATGTGCGCACTCTCAGCCCCCCGCGTAGGCCGGGCCCCCTGTATAGGCCGGGCCCGCCGCGTAATGCGCACCGGGGCCATAGGCAGGTTCGGCGCCATAGGCTGCTGGGCCGGGCCCATAGGCGGGGCCGGGCGCGTAGTGAGCTCCACCAGGCGAGGGGCCATAGGCAGGGCCTGGAATTCCCAACGCTGAAACCCCTCGGGGATTAATTAGCTTGGTGCCTGGCATGATTCCTGGCACCTTTCTGTTTCAGAAGGCCTGCGCCTCGTTTGCTTTGAATGCCGGACACATTCGGCTTGTTGGGGGTGACTTCAGAAGGTCAGACGCGCGGTAAATCACCTCAGTCCTATGAATCCTGAAGCACGTCCATGCCAACACACCCGTGGATTGAGCAACTGCTCTTCTTTCGCATCACCGCGGTGCTTCATTTGCAGCGAGGGTTGGTGCCTTCCATGCCCGACCCTCAAACTCCACCTTGACTGCGTGTTCACGATATGCCTCATCAACTTTGCCGCGTGCTTCTTTGCGTGCCCAACCCTTGACAAATCACCCTCTGACTTGCCTGGGCCAGCAAAAGGCGGAGATGATGGCGAATGGTAATGACATGCGGGAGCTGCTCCTTAGTCGGATGGATGCTTTTGCGCAGTTTTGTCGACGCCTGATCACCAGGGCCCTATATAGAAGCCTCGTTGGCTTTTTAGACCTTATCGTTTTGCAGTGCTGCGTCTTCTCTGCACAAACCTCGAAATCGCAACCTTTTAGGACAAGTGTAGCGCTCGATGTATACTTCGGAAGCTCCACACGAAGTGCACTTTGGCAGCGCCAGCTCGAAAATCGCAACTTTTCAGCACAAGAGTACTACACAAAGTACACTTTGGCAATGGCAGCTCCAACCCGAAAATCGCAACTTTTCAGTACTAGTGTAGCACGTTTGGCAACTGTTCAGTACACGTGCAGCACGCAAAGTACAGTTTGGCAGCTCCCAGCTTGAAAATATCAACTCTTCAGTACCAGCGTAGTACACCAAGTACGCTTTGACAGCTCCAGCTCGAAAACGCAGATTTTCAACCGTGGCACTCAGAAAACGTGTGGTTGTGAGGAAGGCGTGCAAAAGGCAATTTCTGTGCAAAACGTTATCATTGTTGTAATTGTTTGTCGTCATTTCTGTTCAGCTACCAAGTCTAGCTGGTTTGGTACCCAACAAGCTGCGTCTTTCCCGGCTGACAAGGCGGCTTCCCACGATCGTTCTCTCTTTTCTTCAACCCTTATCGTGTTGCATTGAAACTTGGCAGTTTCGGACACAAGGGACCTCCAAAGACTAAGTTGGCTTTGATACAAACCAGGTCCTCAGGTGACAATTGACCACGTCTGAAGTGGCGATCCCAACTCTTGACAGCGCTGTGGTAATGGCAGGGCTAGACTGAGAGAGTTGCGAAAGGTCAACTTTGGCGTTGACTGCCAAGGCGCCCGCCACGGCCGCCTCAGCCGAACGATACCAAAGAAATGCCTGGCTCTGGAGCCTGGGACTGACCTTTTGGATATTGTCGAATCATAGAAAACATATGGAACATCTAACCTTGATCTCAGATCCAAATCATCCCACTTCGCGCGTGGCAGGCACCTGCATTGGGATCACCATTGACCAGGGGCCCAATCGTTGCCCAATCGCTGCCTTGGAAGCTACCTGCCTATTTGGAGGGTAATGATCTTCCAAACCACCCCAGTCAGCGCATGTTGGCTCCCATTCAGCGCCTCCCCCGCGCGCTTTTTCCCGCAACGGCTTCGAGCTCTGAGCTCCCCGGCCGGCGCGCTGGGCTTCATCCCCGGGGTAAAGCCCACGACGGCACCCGAGACCACCGGAGTCGGCCTGTCGCATGCGGACCCTGACGTGGCAGACACGCTGGGCCCAACTGCGGACTGCTTGCTGGGCTGGCTGTTTATGGCGTCTTGGAGCTAACAAAGGCCTGCAAGGTGGTTTAGAAGGGATAGAGCATGGGCAAGAAGAGGGCACGGCTCAAAACGGAAGCTCATCTCGAGTACATTTGCTAAGACAAACAGAGACTCGCCCAAATCTCGGTTGCCGCGTGCGCCTGCCGTCCGTTAGGCCGTGCATTGCTTGGTCTGCCATGGGCTTTGGGTAGTCAGGGTAGTCGACTTTCGGCGGCTTCGTCGGCTTCTTGCCTGTTGCTCCACATGTCCATCGTAGAAAGTCGGCTCTTGAACATGTAAAAGCGACACCAACAAGAAGCCTCGTGTCTACGTTCCGCTTATTCCACGTCCGATAGGTTTCTTTATTTCAGGACGACCGTGACTTTTCCCACTTCGCTGCATTGCACACATTCATGCCTATTGCGTCCAGTTTCTGAGTTGCCCAACACATTCAACCTTCTGTACAATATCCATTCGCGTAGACTGGGCATGAGCCAATGTTTTGTGGCATATCCGACTGCATCTTCGACGTGCCGGTTTTGATTGCAAAGCCAAGAGCCTCCAACTCTACAAGCTTCCGTGTGCATTTTCAGCTAGAAGAATAAAACACTTCCGAATATTCCTGAACAATGGTTCATGTAGCAGGTCCTACCTGTTCAAACCTGGGCATCCAGCACATCAGCAAATGCTTGTAAGATGGTACCTCCAATTGTTCTAGCATAAATTCCTTCCACAAAGTTGACTTTGCTCCGAACCCGTGGTGACGCTTGCATCCCAAGGCGCCATCTTCATCCCGCACGATGCGAATTGGCCGCTCCTTGCCTGGCAGATTTGGGCCTCCATTGAGGTGTGCGCCTTTTGTAAAGCTGGTTTGAAGGGAAACCTGTTTTGACACATTCCCATGTCAATCCTTCAACATTTACCTGTGTTAAAAAACAGTTCGACCTCCCCAACTGGCGAGAAAGCAAGTGCATTTGGGATTTTCTCTGACAGTAATTCTTGGCGACTCATCCTCATTCCAAGCAATGGCTTCCCTTTCTATCCCTTTTTAGTATGTGAAACACGTTGTACATGTTCAACGCGTCACCCAAGGCTGGATGAAACGCGCCACGACATTGAGATGTCCCTAGCTCTGCAAAGTGTGGTACGGCAACATGGAACCACAAACAAGGAAGGAAGGCCGTGAAGAAACAAAGAAACAAATACAAACACACAGTGATAGCAAGTCAGTCAGTCAGTCAGTCAGTCAGTCAGTCAGACAGACAGTCAGTCAGTCAGTCAGTCAGTCAGTCAGTCAGACAAACAAACAAACAAATGCGCGAGCAAGCAATCATACAACACACACACACACAACGCGGAATGATGCGAGCACAAAGCAACACGACACGACTAAGCAAGCAGGCGATCATCGAAACAACCAACGGGTCAAAAATAACAAATATAGCACGCATATCACACCCTACAAACATGCAACCAGGCAGCTACACAAACTAAACAACCAACCAGCGACACCAAAATGACAAACACATACAAACAAACAAGCGCACACGCACAACATACACCCGGAAGAAGTGGACACATGCAATGTCAACTGAGGCCGGCGATTAACATAGAGGTTGAATGTGTTCACAGTTGCTGCTGCTGGGCGATCAACGCTGAACCAACTGCTTGATTCGTCTCTGCAGCGGTGCTGTGCAACTATTGGCTGCACCAGCTGGCCTGTTTTGACATTTCTTTGAACCATCTTCTCAAAGTCGACAAAATAGTCCTGCATCGGTCAAGTGCTTATCCAACATCTGCCGTCGCACCGGTGATTCAAATCCAGCCCTTAGACACTGAGCCCGGCTGACTTGAGTGTTTACTCCAGGCACAGGTCCTGCCCTCGAGAATGAAACTCGGCGCATTTCTTGTCGCTCATAAACGCCTGCCAGGGCTGCAAATCGACATCTATCTACAAACGGGTCTAGGGTTGGTTTAGGGCAGATTCAGGGTCGCTTTAAGGTGGGCTTAGGGAGGGATTGGGGGTTGACATGGGATGCATTTCGGGTAAACATGAGATTTTGGGTGGGTTCCGCCAAAAGGATTTTTTGTTTGGAAAAGGGGCTTAAATGCCTTCCTGACTCGGAGCCAACTCGCGAGTCAGTGTAGTTTCTTCAAAAATTGCCCGCGGCAATTACCTTGAATCCTGGTGGCCCCCGTTGGCTTAGCTTCAGGGGCCAATGGCGCAATGGCAATCCACTTGCCGGTTCAGGTCGAGTCCTGCGGGTGCGGACTCTCCCTAGCCTGGCTGGCTGGCTGGCTCTGCCTTTCTATGTGTCGAAGCATTGTAAAAGCTATGAAAAGCCACGCACTGCCACACATGCCCGAAAGCCGCCAAACACATGAAATAAGTAACATATCCCAAAAACTCCTCTGTGTTCATGCTGGACAGAGACAACCAACACGCCTTGATGAGGATATCCTTCTCACCTCAAGCACGCTCGCAGAGAAAAGCGGCCAACTGTAAGCCAATCTGATCACGGATATTGAATCACTCGGAAGACGCTGAAGGGCACCACCAGCCACCCCACAGAAGTCTCCAACATACCCCCTCGCCACAGGCTCTATTGCTTGGTCTGGGGTTGGACACGTTGTATCTTGTGTTTAGAAGCCAACTCCTTGCGGGTGCGGCGCAGCATAGCTGTCTTAGAAATACGACCCATTTGAAGAAAGGTTTTGCTAGGAGAACATGATGACTTCATCCTAGCACGCTAGCTTGGACATATGATGACACTGGCTCGCTGATTCAGAGCGCCCGGCGATCCACGAAGTCCTCCCATTTCTCACCCAACTTCAACCTTAGGATGCCAAAGGAGGATCCTGGAAATGTTCGCTTTCACGCTCTTCTCTCTTTGAATGAACCAAAAGAGAGTCCTAAGTTCAGATGAGCACACACATGTACTGCAAAGGAAGATTTGCCAAGGCGGGCAGAGCGCTGATGCAAGATGTTGCCACATCCTATGGAGTTCCAGGAGGGTCGCAACAAAGCTTGCTGCAGGTGAAACACTACCTGATTTGCTGTTCGGGAAGGCCGAACCCAACATCTGCAACCTGCCAAGAGGGCAGGGCAACGGGATGAATTCCGTGGAGGGCTCAGCCGCTGAGCTCCCTGCTGAAACTTGGGCATGGCGCGGGCAACACTTCTGGTCACCAGGAATCTCAAAAGCTTCGAGCCCAGTGGCAGACGGAGCGATGGCCCGTGGCACCAAACTCAAGGTCAGTAAACGCATCTGAGTCTGCATTGCGAGGGATGTCTGCAGCCAAGCTACTCTATATCTCTTCAGATTTCTGTCTGACTTCCTTTTGCCAAGTCCATCGCAGCAACCCGTGCTGCCACTTAGGACAGGGATGATAGAGATGCACATAGGGGAAGTCGTATCGTTATAGATTTCAACCAAAGTCAGGCAGGAGGGGGTCTCCTGGATACAGAGCAATGCAATGCCCTTTTGCTGGCTCTTAAAACACGGCCACAAATCCTTGCAGTTCTTTGAATCTTCTTGACACCCTCATGAGAAGCCCCAAAAAAAGGTGTTGAGACTCTCCGACATGGACGGCCTTGAAGTCAGTCCTTCACAATGGCCATTTCCTGCTATCCATGAACATCACATGTCAGGTACAAACATTTAAGCTCACCGGTAAACAAGGCATAACATTGTTTGAATGTGTGAGAGTCAAAAGGTGCACAGTTCACCGCCCTAAACAGCAGGAGGAATGAATGCAGGATTTTAAGGACTTTCGGATTTGGCTTAAGTCAAACAGTGCTGAAGCCTTAAACTGCTCAGCTTTTTGTCTTTAATCTATAAGCCAAATGTTGTGTGGTCTTTGCAACCCTTTGTGATAGGTCCCTGCAACCCTGCGCTACGAGGGAATCCACCGCCTGACGGGCTTCGAACGGCTCCAGGGCCCAGGCTGCCATTTCTCAAAGTCTTGACGTATCCGCACACGCACTAAGCTGGTCCCCGCCTTGGCACTGAGGCTGAGCACATCAAATCTATTTTGAAGCATAAGTTTACCAACGGGCAAGTGCCACCCCAATTTTCTGCATTCCACTAGCTGCAACGTGGCAATCTGCTTTCTCGCAACTGAACATCAGGTCGTGGAGTACAATAGCAGGAAGTTGTGCTTTCCGGTTGCAGGGTCGATACATCAGAAACTCCACCTTTGCATACACAAAGGCTCTCCGAAAGTTTGTTTGGACCACTTATCAGAACGAGGCACCCGTGGAGGCTTTGATCATTGCATTTTTGAGGCAGTTGATCAACCAGTTACTGGTTCAGCACACTTGCCGGCATACAGGTTTGGATGCGTTGTGGATCCCCTACCAAAAGACTACCAAGCAAAGGAATCAATGGGCGAATCCAAGGCTCGGCAAGAGCTAGCATGCTCCCGAAAGAAAAGCGATCAATGTTCGCCTAAATGTGTTCCACATACAAGCCAAGCATGGACATTCATATACGGGCCCGTCCAATCCACACTGCAGAAAGACACGCAGCTGATGATGTCCGATTTCCTTTCATGAATGACGTAACCCAAGCAAGGGAAGCATGTCCACTTGCTGCATCAACCATGTCCTATGTCGCTGCTTTTTGCCAAAGGCAGCTTGACGGCATTGTGCGAAAGGGTGCGTTGCTTAGCGTTGCCCTCGGCTCCCACTGCTGCAGGGACTTGAACATGCATGTTGAAGGGTGCATCTCAGAAACGCGATAGAGGCTCTGTGTAAGACTTGAGACAGCCAGCCCACATAGCTCGGAGGTCCCTTTCCCTGCCTGAATGTCGAAGGTTCCGGCAGTGACCTGTCGATTTGGATGGGCCGAATGGCGTGCCAAGGGGCAGTTTCAAGGAGCCAGCAGACCTGATTCATTGACATATTAGTTTGGTGTACTTGCAACAATTGCAGCTACAGGGTTCCTGGCCCTTGCCTACCTCCCGTCATTGTCCTGACAACTTCTCTGGCAGCCAGCAATCATTCTGCTCTCAGGTGCCATGGCACCTATGCCGTCCATGAGCGAATGATGCTTGCCATGGCGCGCCTTGACGCTCTGCATATCTCGCAAGCTCACAGTCCTCACCGGATCCTCGGTGAAAGAAATTTGGAAGGCCTGATCACTGATCACTGGCCGTCCGTGAACCTGTGCCTGGCTTTTATTTACAGTTTATCAGTGGTTGTCAGAAAAGCTGAAGATTGAGGATCTTTTACAGAAGCTGTTATGACAGTCCCCATAAAGCCGGGGACTAAACTGAACTGGGACCGACCCAGCCAGCGACAAGGA